TTTAAGTTTTAAATGATGTGGACGTCCTAGTCATTAGTGGATGTTGAGTCACTTACGGAGAAAATGGTTGACCGTCAATTTTGACGCTCAATTCAAAATGCGGGCCAAATTTGTCCAATAATTTCAAAAGTAGGCCACAAATGTCTTATTTGAAAAATGGGGCCAAAACTGACACTTACGCTAAACTTGAGGCCAAACTAGGATATTAACCCTTATTTTTATGTAAACAAATAACAACTCCACGTTTACTTTTCCATTTTCCTGCTAACCTATTCCGTCTCCAACCCTCCTCTTTTTTTCTTCTTCTTCTCATTTCCCTCTTTGCTACTTAGAACTCTTTGAGATCCGACTACCAAATCGTGAACCATTCTCTATTTCTTTCGTTTAGCAATCAAATCGCTGTCCATTTGCATTTGATTCCCTCAATCAGCCACCAAATCGCGATCCAGGAGAGACTAGTTATGGCGGGGGAGATTGGGGATCTTAGGAATCCAACGAGGATTTTTTTTGTTAATCCTCGATTTTCAGCATCGATTCGACGTTTCGGTCTCGTTTTGAGATGCAACGAGCAATTCCTTGAGCGATGAGCGAGTTCTTCTTAGCAGCGATTCCGTTGCCGGTCGATTTCAAGAACTAGGACAGAACTTTGGAGATTCCATCGAAGCGAGACGGCCGCGAGCTGCGATTGCTTCTCCTCCCCTCCCGTTGCGGCTGCTCATCGAGCTCAGCAGCTCCTCCAGAACCACCGCACGATTCTCCTAGGATTCCCATGAGAATCGGTCTAACGCGGGGACGATTGCTCCAAATGGAAACCCAGTTATGCTCGCTTTTGTTCCCCTAGCTATCGATCATCCTCAAACTCTCCCGGAAGTCACTGCCCCTGGTAGCTCAGTTAGTGAGAAGGATACTATTGATTCTCAGGCACAAGACGAGTTGTGATTGGACATGAAGGAAAAGATACAGAAGCTAATCATTTGCTTGATGATATGATTGGGAGAGCCTCAAAATCAACCACCGGGTGTTAGGAACAATATTGGTCATTTGCTGGATGATATGAATGGGAGAGCTTCAAAAGCTTCTTTATCCCGATGATTCATCGTATAAGTGGTTTTGCGGCATTCTATCCCTTCTCTGCTACTTTTCACACTTTGCGTTAGTTGGTTTAGCTGCAAGGTGTAGACGGCCAGAGGGGAACATAAGGTTTGTATCTGGTTTGACACTCATACTTCAAGCTTTGATTGTTGTTGAGTCTAGAATCGGTAGTCTTTGACTGCAATTGCTGACTTCTGATGCATTAATAATGGCAGCTATCTATTTTGAAATTGCTTCTATTTGGTATTTATTGTTTCGATTATCAGAGTTTGAAGGCTGAAGCAAAGGTTTGTTGTTGATTTAGCATACCAGTTCACCAAATATCATGGCTAGGTAAACCTTTCCCTTCTCTTTAAGTTCTGATGATTGTCCACAAGCTGCGAGTTATTACTCCAATTTTTATTGGTTGAATTGGCATGCAACTTAATACCCCCCTCTTTTCTGGAGCGTTGAATGTGTCTATTATGTTTTTAGGCTGAGATGATTCAAGAATCATCTCTTTCTAAGCTCCATGAAGAACTACATAACATGTTCAAGTTTCAGTTTACCTTGCTGAGCTCTCAGATATCAACCATCTTTGAGTTTTATTCTTGTGATTGTATAATTCTGCGTTGGTGTTTACTTTCTCTGGTTATTCATCCGTTGGAATGAATTTGTAAATGCAAACAGTAGACAGTAATTGTGGTACATCTTCATTAATAATATTGAAAATTTATCACTTTGCATGTTTCTTTATAAGTACCCTGTACCTAAAGTGCTTAAGAATTTGGTGTCCTTTCTTCCACCTGCCACTCTCAACAAATTAACCTTTTCTTTCTTGATTTCTCTATTCTAGCGTGGCCATTATATCAGAGCAAAGAATCATCAGTTAACTTGTAAATTGTTGACTAGTTATGATTGCTCCATATACTAGACTATTTTCATGCAATTAATTTCTCTGTTCATATACTGAGAACTGACTGTTTCCTATATCTGTAGCATTTATCTTTTGGTTGTAGTTCTAGAGAACTTAATGTACTCTATTGATGCGATCACCTAGCCATCATTGTATTTGTAATTCATTTTGTTTCTCTTAGCTTCATTTGTATCTTTTTTGGCTTCACCTCTCAAATTTAATCGTTTCTTCTTCAATAGGGGCGGTCGTTATTATTCTTCTTCTAGCTGGTTTCTTACGCTGTGCATATGAAATATGTGTTTTCTATCTTACGGCTGGTAAACATGCTTCCAGGAGCTACTCTTCTTCTGGCTTCTATGTTGGCTTAATCACAATTTCCTAGGCAATCAACATGTTGTTTATTGGCAGAATGAGCAACTCTGTGTTTCTGCCTCTCAGCACCAGTTACCAGGTTTGCCTCTATTCTATATAATTATTTTTATATAGAATTGTTGTTCTTTAAGTTTGCTTCTCTCTTTTATTCTTAGCTGATTGCTTTGAATTTTGTTCTCCAGAACATGGAATTGAGGACTTGGTCAAGTTCAGGCTTACCTGTGGTTCTATATTCTTGAATTGTTGATTCTTGTACCTCTGAAATTAGGTATAAATTCAGTACCTGAGCTCTTTCGGGATTACTTCGAAACCTCTGACTCTTTTGGCTGACCCGTCTTTGCTACAGGACAAGTTTTTCTAAGGATAGGTTAGGCATATGCTTAAATTCAATCCTTCCTTTTCTTTTCCAAATTGCTGAACAACTGCAACTAGATTGGCAAATTGAACATTTAGGGGACAGTTTAAGCTTTAGAAGGAATTCTCACAGACAGCAAGAGAGCCAGCTTAAGCTTCTGTCTTTCGCCTCCAATTACCAGGTTTAGGCTCTGTTTTTCTGCATTTCATCTATGAGCCGATTATATCTTTAGTCTTGCAAGCTACCTAATTCACCTCCTATATTTGGTTTATGTTTGACTGAAAGAATGGTGTTCATGAATGGTGTTCAGGTAAGTAGAAGCTCAATGTTGAAGTTAGTTTTTCTTTCCATTTTCTTTTGCACTCTTTTCATATTTCATATCATTTGTTAGGTAGGCGTTCATATTTGGTTGGAAGGCAGGAGAGTGACCCATAATAGATTTTATATGAGAAAGCAATTTGGATTGCCTAATCGTATTTGCAGAATTTAAAGAATAACGAATGCTCTTTAACATTCATATTTGGTAGGAAGGCAGTACAGTGATCCATCCTGCTCTTGAGCACCTGACAGCGAGCATGGTGGTCGGATTGGAGGGGCTTGAAAGCTTTATCTCTGTAATTGTGATTTTTGAAATACTGGGTTTATTTTTAGGGATAAAATTGTTTAATTGTGATTTTTGTTACTAAATATTTTTTTATATATGAGATATGATATGAAGCAAAATTTTATTTTATTTAATTTAATTTTTCAATTTCCGTTTTAGTGACCAAAATCTCAACAATAAATTTGGCCATATTAAATTATTTATTTGGTTGGCTTAAGTGTTTTCCGCAACCAAAATTCATGGTTGTGATAAACTTTTATAACCAAAAGAATTAGTTGTCTAAAATGATATAATAGGTCGACGTATGTATTTTCACAACCAAATTTCATGGTTGTGATAAACTTTCATGACCAAAAAAATTGGTAGTCATTATGATATTATTGGTTGATAATAATCACATAAATTGGTTGTCATTTATATTTATGGCGACCAATCATCTACATTTATCAACCAATAAAGTTAACTATAACAACCAATTTAAAATCGTCACAAAAAATCCGGGTTTTTACTTTGGCAAAAATTGGTTGCGATAGCTGTCCTATTCGCTACCAATCATTATTATGGTCGCGGTAGGATTTAGTAACGCGACTATAGCGACCAACTCTGCTACCAAATATTTTTCGTTACAAAAAAGTATTAATAACCAATTTTTAACTTTTTAGTAACCAGTATATTTGGTTGCAAAAACCGTTTTTTATTGTAGTGAGACCATATGTAGCTCCACTCTTGCATCGCGGTTCTTGTGAATTTGGCCCAACGGAACTTGTGCACATTCCTACTTCCGCGACAACAAGGAAAATTTGACGTGGATCAGCAAACAAGGGTTGCATGAATCCGGCCCAGTGGCATCGCTTTTGCCAAAACTCCAAAAATAAAGTTGGTGTTCCTTATCTTGCCGCTGTTGTCCCCCTCCTTTTTCAGCTTTTATAGTTTCCATATAAATCAGGCCCCATCTTTGCCTAATAGGGCTCGGCCCAATAGATTTTCTTATTTATTATTATCATTATCATTATTATTATTATTATTATTATTATTATTATTATTATTAATCGTCGGCGTATATTTGTTTATTTTGTGAATGAATAGCAGTTTCTGAGGAGAGGAAAATCTAAGGCAACCAAGTACATGAGTAAGCTAATAGAAAAGTGGATAATATGAGTTTTTGAAAGACTGCGAGTGGGTTTGTCATCATATTAGTTTAAATTATATAGTATATAGAGTTATAGACAACAATGTTATTTAGGAGGATCTAGGGGTAGATCTTAGATCCTACTAAGTCAACTCAAGTTTAGGGTAGTTTGGAGGATGGATTTGTCAAATGAGGTCATTTGATTCAATTATCTTGAAATTATTTTATTTTATAATTGATGTTATTTTTTAAAAGTATTTGTCACTCCCTGTAAATTTTCAATTGATGCAAAATAAGACAATCCCCCAATAATATATAGTACACTTTTGTGTACTGTTTTCATTTCAAATTTCCTGCAACGAGAGTGAAAGTAGGAATGACATTTTTGTCTTTACAATTAATTATTTATCTCACATAAAAAATATCAACATCAAGATTTGAACCCGGGTCTCTTCAAACAAAGACAACAATCACAACCATTTATGCTGAACAAATTTGTTGTGCCTTTTTTAATACAAAATATACACGAAGTTCAACTCTCTGAAAATCACAGGACTTTCCATCATGATTAGCAAGCCCACTAAGTATACCGTATGTATTTTTATGGTGTTTGATACTTCAATTTTCATAGTAGAGTTTCATGTAATTTTCTCAATTTTAAAATTCTTTCTCTCTCCTTAATTTTTGCTAAAGGTAAATGGGCAATTGGCTAACATGGAAAAAAACTAATTTTGTCACTACGTGTTGCGTCCTTGCATTTTTCAATTTAAATTTCTGGTTTTATCTTTGTTCTTATCTCTTTCTAACTTCCTCTGAAATTCTCTCCAACGTACAATAGTTTGCGCCCCTCTCACTTCCCAATACAAGGCCGCCTTTGAAAATCAATCATCCGATATCTCTTGGCACATCAGTTTTATTGTTGCGGATTTAAGTTGGAAAAGTAAAAGAGTTTAATAAATAATGGAGTTGCAGAAGCAGGATTATAAATTGAATTTTTGGTTGAAAATATGTCTCTTGAGATAAAAAAAATTGGTTGTACAAGGAAGAGTGGTGGCTATTGGATCTCATGTTTATGGTTTTTACATCTATCACAACCTATTTTTATCTTAAACGAGGAATCATTGATTGATTTATTGAAGTAGGTCGATTCTTTATTCAACCTACTAGAACTGCTAGACAAGGAGTGTCTAATTTTGTGCCTTATTACTTTGATTGAGTCTATTAGTGTGTTGGAGATAACACTAATTTTGTCGTTTGCTCTCAAGTTTTGATGGCCCCCTCTTAGCTTAGATGTTAGTATATAGTTGACTTAAATCAACAACTCTCTATTTCTTTTTTATTAGTGGCATGTTGTTCATAAAAGGAGCGCATTAAACCCTTATGTAGGATTGTGAGATTTAAGATTTAGTTTCAAACTATTTATGGGTCATGTGGAATTTCACTGATCTTTTATACCCTCTTTCTTGAAAACCAACTAACCAATAACATTTTAACGAGGGCTTAATTAACATTATGAAAATGAAATTAATGATACATTTTATATTTTATATTCTTAAATTATGATAGTATTTCTCTGAATGTTAGACCTATATATTCTTTCTTTATGTATCATCTCGATCGAAGGATTGTCAATAAAATTAAACCGGTTGATTGGCTTAAATGTAACATAAAAATATAAATAATCAAATATGAACATTCCGGCCAATGGGCCGGGTTATAAGCTAGTTGAAATAGCTTCAGCCGATAAACATTTCTCTCGTTTAGAGAGATTTTCAGAGAGGAGGCGACACCTAGTGTTTTTTGCTTCGAAGTAGGATTCGTGAACTTGTGATTTTCGATTATGAGTTGGAAACCTCTAGCACGGTGATAATGATTACATCAGGGTGTTAGTGCTCTTAATCTTCCTTCTGCAACTAAAAGTTTTCTGTGATTCGGAGCTTGCTGATATTCACCGAGTGAGAATTTTTAGGTTTAGGTTTTTAACCGAAATTTGGAGTACTCTCGTCTTTTTTTTTTTTTTTTTTATATCTGAGAGACCCTAATCTGCCTTTTGCGATTAGGGTAAGGGTGTGATTTCTCTTTTAGTTTGACAACCCGGAGTAGCTTGTTTCTCATTTTTCAACTTCTGTATAGGTATACTTCAAAGTATATTAGTACAAGAAAATAAATTCATAAGTGAGTACGCAAAGATGGGATCAGAGGCGAATCAAAAGGAGTCATCAACGGGTGTTACTCTCGAACTGCCGAAGGAAGAAAGAGATCCAAAAGATACTCCTAAATAGGTTATTCCTTTACTTCCTAAAGGGGTTGACATGAAGGTACAAAACATAAATCTTGTTGATGACGAACCTTTGGTGGCGGAAGAAGAAGATTTTGACCCCGTCATGGTTAAAGCCGTGAATCTGCTTGGCCTCGTAAGCAGGTTGGTTGTTGTCGACTTAATTGATTATGTGTGGTGAACCACAAAACTCGACTAGACTTCAAGTAAGGTTGTTTGGTGTTTATCACAAGTAACCTTAGACTTACCTAGTCAGTTTTCTTGCAAACTCTAAGTTAGAAGTAGGAGTAGGAGAGGCAATGGGTCGGTTCAGGTTGGGTTTTGTTAAATCTAAATTAAAATCCATGGGTTTATCCGTAAAAAAGAAAAAAAACCCGAGGTAAAATCAGTTGGGTTTGTAAAACTCAAACCCAACCCAACCCGCTGGGTATCCGCGGGTTCATGGGTACCCATGGGTTTTGTGGTAAAAAATTTACAATAACGAGTTCCTATCAAAATAAAATTCAAACATCAATTTTTCATACAAACTATCCGTACATAAAATACCAGTCTAGAAAATTCAAACAACAATTACACTAAATAAAAGCACACGGAATAAGTGTAGTGAGAATTAGATTGAGGGAAATTAGAATTATGGTAGAGTTTGGGAAGAGTAGGGCGACGAAATAAGTGTGAGGGGATATCCATGGGTCGGGTATCCCTAAAACCAAACCCAACGCAACCCGGTGAACAGTGTACGAGTTTAAACCCAAACCCGACCCGAAACCCGTCAACGCAAGTTTTACCCGCGTTGACCGGATTGGGTCGGGTAGAGTACCCATGGGTTCGGGTTTTGTTGCCATCCCTAAGTAGGAGGAAACACTAAGTACTTGTATTTTTCCTTTATAAATCTAAACATGATTATAGTGGTGCTTAAAATTAGTTGTGACACAAATGGATTGGATTTATAGATTGGTGAATTCATAATTTAGATTAAATGGATTCATGGATCCAAATATCATCTGACATTTGGAGCAACACGAACAATATTAAAAAGTTTATGTGCTCTATCGTCATTATAAAATTAATTTTACGTACCAAATTAGCATTTTTAAATGAGTTTTTTTAATTTAAAATAAAACTTTAGGTATCAAATTGAAAATCTAAAACATATATATAGGTACTTTTCTTGACACTACACGGACAACTCAATTTATTGAAGTTGGAATAAATGGATTTGACTATTTAGATTTTTTTCAGGAGATAGATTAGATTATAATTCAAATTGGCATCTCCATTTAAAATAATGGCTTATTAGTGGATTAAGTAAGGCTGTTAACCCGCGGGTTGACTCGGACCCGGTCGAGCTAGTGGGTCAAGGGTTAATGGGTCACCCGTTTTAGCTCGGAAATAAGGAAAGAGTGTACTTATCCTGATAAATTGTATCAAATTTCATCTAACATATGAGTTATAACATATAATATTACATCAAAATAATATGTCGTACTTAGATCCAACATATAGTGAAAATTCACACACACTTATATAACATCAATATTCAAATGTTCAACTTAGGATTCCAAAGATTGAGTTAGGCGAAAAGAAAAATCGGAAAATAGAGGCATTTCGCAAACCAAAGTAAAAAATGACACAATTTGACCTCCAACCCGGTACCTTGTAGCGGTCGACCCGACAGGTGCGTGTGAACCGTTTTTCTCACCGGGCCAGAGTCAAAGTGGGTCGACCCGCGGGTTGACAACCTTGAGATTAAGCTAATTAACCATGCAAATACAAGTATACGTACATTGACTGACTGATGAATATCAATCTTCATCATCTTGAAAATCTGTCGCGTTTATATAATTTGTGGAAAGTAATTGGGGGTTTGATGTACTTGGAAATTTGGTATATCCTGTTTAGCGTGTGAGATCCATCTCAAAAGGGCAGTACTCTTGTCTGTGTCTCACTCACAAGAAAGGAAGATGAAGATCAGTACCTACGTGCGTATTAGCACAGTCAGCTAGCGAGCTGTTGAACTTTGTTTAGACAAAGAAAAGGGGAAAAGGAATTAAAGCAGCTTTCCTTCATATATATTTTGATATTTTCTCGTATATTTTGTCGATTCAGAAAAAAAAAGTCTTTCATAAATTGCCTTTTAATTAGATAGGCATCAAACTGGAATAAAGTGTAAATGCGACCGTTTATAATACGTCGTTAGGAATCTAATTAATTAATTCCAAGTGGTTGTATTTACTTGAAAATCATAAAATTATGTTAATATAATACTATAATCAAATCCCTATTAAAAGTACCGAAACAAAGGGTCTCAGATCGCGAGATTTTTTATGCGTGGATTCTTTCTTAAGCTTCGAGCAGGCTGGCTAGATTTAAAGTTGGTGATGTATATTGTTAAAGATGCATCTACAAATGTGGGTTCCAATATTGAATAATTCTTAATTCGCACATATATTTGCGACTACCAATTCTCATAAATACTTACAAATTTGTTTTCCTGAAAAATTATGAAAAATTTGATACTCGACACGCTCATGAAAGCAAGCGAAGCAGGCCAACAACCAAGGTTGTCAACCCGTGGGTTGACCCGAACCCGGTTGAGCTAGTGGGTCAAGGGTTAATGGGTCACCCGTTTTAGCCCGGTTTAGACCGGAATATGGAAAGCGTCATTATATTGTACTTATCCTGATAAATTATATCAAATCTCATCTAACATATGAGTTATAACATATAATATTATACCAAAATAACATTTCGTACTTAGATTCAACATATAGTAAAAATTCACACACACTTATATAACATTAATATTCAAATGTTCAACTTAGGATTCCAAAGATTGAGTTAGGCGAAAAGAAAAATCGGAAAATAGGCGCATTTCGCAAAACAAAGAAAAAAATGACACAATTTGACCTCCAACCCGGTACCTTGTAGCCGTCGACCCGGCGGGTGCGTGCGGCCCGTTTTTTTCACCGGGTTAGGATTAAACTGGGTCGACCCGCGGGTTGACAACCTTGTCAACAACTTTGTCAGTGATAAGGAGTTTTGGTCAATTGATATATGGATTGTGTGAATCAAATCCACAAATATATACGAAGACTTCACATTCTTGCATTTAATCATACATTCCTAGTCCTTTCAAAATTCAAACCAACGACGAGCTTCATTTTTAATGATAATCTTGTGCGCGCAAGCAGCCAAAAACATATATCAGCACTTATCTTGTTAATAATGATCATACTGCTTATCTCCTAGTAATTCAAGATTCTACCTTGAACTGAACCTAATTATTGTCCTCACGGAACTGAGGTTTTACTAACTAATTATACTTCTCCAAGAAAAGCCAAACTTCGAACTTGGCTAATCCTAGATGATTAATAACTTAATTAGCTTATCTCGGTCTTGAATATAGCTAGCACAGGAAAATTAACTTGGTTAGGTTTCTTATATAACACTAAATATCTCTTTCGATGAATTTGGTCCCCGTGTTCATCCTTCACTTTCTCGCCATGTCTTTTTGGTCAATTCAATGCACAACTAGTTGCTTTGGTTCCATTTTCTCAGACAGATGGATGCATGTTTGGAATGGTGAAATAACCGATCTCGAATCATTTTATTTGTAGAAAATCCAACTTATATAATTTTTGGGTGAATTTTTTTCTAGTTCGTGACAAGGAAAGGTAAGTAGTACTATATGTAGTGCGGTTTTTATATTTTAAATATCTCACGAAATTAATCCAACTATATATGTGGTACAATTATATTCTAGACTCCCTCTCTTCAACAAGCAAGGCCAAGAAGATATCTTGATTTTTTGTTTTGTTTTGGTTATTAGAAATATCTCAATATTAATTTAAAGACGCTTCAGATTAACAAACAACAACAAAACAAATATTCTTGTAAATGGCCTTACAGATCGATCCTTGGGTCCTCCACTACAACAATTTGAGCCGAGTAAAGGCAAAATTCGACGACTGGTTGACTCCAAAGGCCACTCATGCAAGCAAGTAAAGGCCAAAGAGAGATCTTTTTGGAGAAAATACAAACAAATGCATGGCCTCCCTCCAATTAAAGGCCACCGATGAGGTCGTCAAACAAGAAAAAAACGTTATATGAAGGGATGGATCAATATATTCAATAGTGGGCGAGACTAGTACTCAATCATTATTTTCATCATTCGTAGAGTCAGAAATTTGAATGAGCGCGAGAGAATCGAAGACGGGGATTGTCTTGAATCTATCATAATTGGGTGAGAGACATTTTAAAGCCATATCGACTATCCTCTGTTTAATTTTTTTTTTTTTACGAATTTTACATGTAATTTGACCATATTATTTCAAATTTAAGATGGACTATATATAGCCTCTCCTGACTTCAACCTAACTCCTTTTACCTATCCTTATTTTAATTAATGGACAAGGCAAAAGATAAAAGGTGGCGAAGAAGAAATAAAGAAAGAAAGAAAGGAAGACCATCGACGATAGCTATTGATATAAAGCAAAGTAACAGAAATAATATTTCAAAGGTGACGATGATGAATTGCGCTTTTCTTATCTTGCCAGCAGTAGCAGATCAGGACGATTGAAGGATGGGCGAACGAGGAAGAAGATAATTATACTATACACCAACATGACTGCATGCCAAAAAGAAAGAATGAAAACAAGAAAAAGAAAGCCCGTTTCTTATTTTTCTTTCACTGTATTTGTATACACAATTACACATATGCTGTTCAAATTTCCCATCGTACCTTTCTTCTCTCTTTACTTTAATCACATTTCTTCAAGTTGTGATGAAGAAACAATTCCAAATCATTTGAATTGATAATTGAGCTAGTAATTCTTATGTGTATCGAGGAAAATCGTACTGAGTGTTATACCGGATATGTTAAAAGTAGGGATACATTTGATACCGCTAAAATTCTATATTGATTTTAATTACGTTAATCAATATTTTTTGTCAAATCGATGGGTATTGTTTAATAAACACTGGGTATTGTTTAATAAATACTATCACTAAAATGTATATGCATTCCTTATTTAAAAGAAGGGGCAAAATTACTCTTACTTGGGTATTTTCATCCCATTTAGGTTCACATTACTAGACAAATGAAAACAAGGATCTCCAACTACTTATTGAAAAAAAAAAATCTCCAACCTCCACTACAACTATATATAAATACACCCTCCAAGCTCCTTCACCTAAACTTTCCTTCCCACAAACATATTCTTCTCCCATTTCCTCTGCCCTCTCTCCAACTTCCATCCACCATTCTCTTGGTCCCTCCTTGGATTCTCCCAATATTGTATGAGCAGGAAATTCCATTCTCATCTCCTATCTTTCCTTGCCTCTATTTATCAACCAAAGAAGCCTCCTTTCCACCATTGTCTTTCTTTCTCCTATTCATCACCTTGCTCATTCGCTGCATCATCTCTCCTCACAACACTAGCTTCTTTTACTCTACAACCCAAATTGCTCAAGATTTCTTAGCACATGATCTATATCGTTCTTTCGATTTATACGTGTCATTCTTGACAGAAAAAACACTTTCACTCATACATTCTGAACCTCCCAACAAATTAAATGGTTTCACCATTATCATTCTTTTCTATATTCCTCTCCCTCACTCTGCTTTCCTTGGTCAAAGGTAACATCAGTCTTCTTCCACTCTTCCCTTTGTTCTGCACTATTTTCTTGCAATAACGATGATTTAATTTTCAGCATTTTATTTTTATCGTGTAGCTCGAATATAAAATTTCCAAACTACAGTTGTTACTTCTAGTGATTCCTGCTTTTCATTTCTACTATACAAATCCAATAATTGAAACCATGGATTCTTCAAAATTCAATCACTATTTCATCTTACCGTGGATTTCGTAAATGCAGGAATTCAAGGAGCTACATTCACAGTGGTGAACAAATGCCAATCCACAATATGGCCAGGCATTCTGGCCAATGCGGGCAGCCAGCCACTAGACAGCACCGGTTTCGAGCTCCCCTCCGGCGGGACCCGAACCTTCCAGGCCCCACCCAGCTGGTCGGGCCGGTTCTGGGGCAGGACCGGCTGCCAATTCGACACGTCCACGAACCAAGGCGCCTGTACCACCGGAGACTGCGGATCAAACCAGATCGAATGCAATGGCCAGAACGCCAAGCCACCTGCCACGCTGGCGGAGTTCACGGTGGTCCCCGGGGGCCAGGACTACTACGACGTCAGCCTCGTCGATGGGTTCAACTTGCCCGTGATGGTCGAGCCCACGGGCGGGTCGGGCGGATCTTGTTCGTCCACCGGGTGCATAACCGACTTGAACCGGCGGTGCCCGTCGGAGCTCCGGGACGGGTCCGGCGCGGCCTGCAAGAGCGCCTGCGAGGCGTTTGGGACACCCGAGTATTGTTGCAGCGGGGAGTTCGGGTCGCCTGACACGTGTAAGTCGTCGGTTTATTCGGAGATGTTCAAGTCGGCTTGCCCGCGGGCGTATAGCTACGCTTATGATGACGCATCAAGCACTTTCACTTGTGGTGGAGCCGATTATGTGATCACATTCTGCCCTTCTTCCACGAGGTAACTAAAGAATTGCTTAGCTATTTTCTGCGAGACGAAATCGGTCCCTAAGTTTCAACAAATTTTACGATACAGATCATCGTATGTTTTGTATCATAAAATCTAGTCCTTGTTTGCTGTAAATAACACGTGTGAGTTGTAGAGTAGCGGGTGTAGTCAATGTTATATGAATCATAAAAAAACAACGTAGTAATTCGACCATCTAAATTAGGAGAACAAAAAGATTAGACGTTTGTTCGTTGTTACGTGATTTATAACTAAAAAACTAGGTTATGCTTCAATTTTGATTCAAGTAAATGAGACGAAGAGATCATAGGAAGGACTTGAGGAATTTTATGAACTGTGCAAATTCAACTTATGAGAGAGGAGATGAATCAAATATTGTCGAAACTCAAGGTATTAAATGGAAATTAGGCCACCTCAACGTCCAATAACATTCTTCACCAACAATTTCCTGTAGTAAGTAAGAAGGGGCATTGCTATTCGTCGCCCTAAAATTCTTTATTCGTCGCCCTAAATTAATTAATTTTACTTTAATACCCTTAACAAATTCTTTCCAACTACGTTGGGGTTTTGAAATCGGGAGGAGAAGGTGCATAACTGGAAGTACTCCTCGTCGCCGTTGAGTAGGGTCCGGCCGAGTGTCGTACCGGCACTAGAACGACGGTTGTCGTATTGTTGCAGGGGCCGCGGTGGTTTTTGGCCTAGGTGGTGGCGATGGTGCAATCGACGGCGGCAGTTCTGGTCTCTGCCACAAATGGAGCCAAGCTTTTTTTTTTTTTTATAGATGAAAGTGAATTTTATTGCCTTTCTAATACACCAGAAGTGTACATGGAGAAAGGGAACAAAAGGGATACAAAAGAGAGAAGGCTAAAAGCCCGCATGCATAACAGGTAAAGAAGAAAACAGAGAAGGCAGAGCGAAAACCACCACCGGAGCCAAGCTTGTTAATGAAGAGGAAGTCTGCCGAGAAGATGCGGCGGCGGCTGCACCAAAAGGAATGGGGTCAGAGGGGCAAGAGTGTCAATTTTATGCATTTTAGGGCGATAAAATTTGAAATTTAGGGCGACGAATAGCAATTCAGGTAAGAAAAGGTGAATGATAATCAGATTCTGATTTGGAAGGGTGAATATTCTTTCTCCTTTTTTATCTTGCTTCGTTGGCAAGGCCTACTTTTTGCGTTGCTAAAGCCAAATATAAAGCGTGTACAAGTAGAAAGAACATTTTCTCATCCCTTTATTAGCTTGTGGGTTAAATATTTATAGTTTTTGTTTTGTTTTATTTCTTGATTTATACAGTCAAAAGTCTGCAAATGTTGGGCCACTGTCGATATCGGCGACGACAGGCTCCGATAACGGCCCGCCGGAATCAGGCGATGGGCCTCTGGGAATCGACACATCATGGTTGCCAAATTTCGTCACCGGGAGCTCTTCTACTCCCATTCCTTCGTCTTCTTCTTGGACATGGCTATTCATGATTGTTTCATCTTATTTGCTTTTTTATTTATCATAAGTGTTCCTTCTTTTGCTCCTTTTAGCTTCCGAATTGTAAACCCATAATTCTTCTGTATCTACTAGCTAGAGAAAGCAAGCATATTGACTGCGGATCAGTAGTCCATTCTTACTCTTGTTTACCCCAATGATAGATCAGTGAATAGAGGTGGTAAATAGATTAGATTAGTGGTTTATGGGTTCAAGTGGTATAAAAAATTGGACCATTATGTAAATTTTGAAAAGTTAAGATACTAAAATGTGGTTATAAGATACCAAAATATAATTTATGAATGCTTTTTCATTAAAAATACATTTTATGCATCATATTGTAAAATATAAACACTAAGGTACTAAATTGTAATTTTTCATATATCCATGGATATCCACCAATTTTTTTGAATTTGAATTAAATAAATTGATTTAAATGGATTGAATTAGTTACATTATTTTAAGTAGATAAATTGACTTGAATTTGTGGATTGAATTCAAATTGTCAATTCTATATGTAAATTAACCATACGAAGCCCAAAGCAATAGCTTCACAAACTGCCTGGTAAGCTCAGTAGCTTAGTTACTTGACTAATCGTGTAACACGACTCTTTAACTAAAGCAAAGACACAATTCAATGACCACCTGCCAACCACATGAGTTTCAAATCTAACAAGTCATCCCTTCAATTGAAACGTTTCTAATGATTCAGCTTATTCCAATACCAACATCAAGTGTAAACCCTTCATGAGCAGCAGCAGCAGCAACTTCCACCTCTTCAAGCTTGCACATTTCTAACTTAAACCTGCAGCATGATACCTGCAATTTGTTCATTAGTGCCAATATGTTCCAACTTGACACAGCTCCTTCATTCACCAAATTTATCGGGCAATAAAATTTAACGTCGATATGCTTACTCCTGTCTACATCGATATGCTTACTCCTATCATGCAATACTAAAGTGTTTGAGAGATTAATTGTAGAAATATTATCATAAAAAATAATATATAGCATCACCACACTCACTTTTCTTCCACTCCATTTCCTCCAAGGTCCTCCACCAAGATACATCATGCTGCACAAAGCTTAGCTACAAATTCAATCCCAAATTGTTTTGTTTTGTTTTTTTAAGGCAGGGTGGTAGGCCTTGATGCTTTGTCTTTCTTCTCAGTTCCTTCCTGGGTTCTCTTTGTTTTTTTTTTTTTCTGGTTTGTTTCTCCTTTGGAATTGTAACATCCGGAACCTTTTCTCGACGAAGATATTGTCCGCTTTGGACCTCTACCCTCACGGTTTTCGACTTGGGGTTCAATTCAAGGTGACTTCCCGTAAGGTCACCCATCCTTGTTGTACTCCACATTGAGCACGTTTAACTTCGGATTTCTCACAAGAACTCCTCCATTTCACCCCAAAACGCGTCTTGTCAGTTAATGTCGGTTTCTTACTTATGAACCATGGATCTCTCCCGTGCTTTGTCGATGTGGGATTCGCATAAGGTGTTACAGACACCCCCCTTGAGACTCAACGCCCTCGTTGAGGTTTGCCCCACCATTGTTCAAGAGGGACGCTAAGAGGCTCTGATACCACTTGTAACATCCCGAACATTTTCCCGACGAAGATATTGTCCGCTTTGGGCCTCGACTCTCATGGTTTTCGACTTGGGGTGCAATTCAAGGTGACTTCCCATAAGGTCACCCATCCTAGTTGTACTCCACACTGAGCACGTTTAACTTCGGAGTTCTCACAAGAACTCCTACATTTCACCCCAAAACGCGTCTTGTCAGTTAAGGTCGGTTTCTTACTTATGAACCATGGATTTCTCCCGTGCTTTGTCGATGTGGAATTCGCTTAAGGTGTTACATTAATCCTTTTCTTTCTTATTAATAAAATTGATGTCAACCTTATCTAAAAAAACAAAAAAAATTCAATCCCAAATTGTTGAGAGGATGACCGCAAGTTGCTTCTTGGGAGACCAGGAAATTGCCTCTTTAGCCAAGAGAAACACAGCATGAGGTCACCCTTAATGGTTGAATTTAAAGGTGACTCGGCTGAGTCACTCTCTACTTCAACATAAATTGCCTACCCTACTCTTGATGTATGAGGATCAACTGCATATTTAAAGGTGCTTGGAGTACCGGGAGTGGTTAATGTACCCTCATTTAGGGTGACTATACGGTCCGGTCCGGTCCGGTTAAATTGACCCAAATTGATCCGGTCCAGTCCAGTCTTTTTGAAAATATAAGTATCAAAGATTGGATTGGATACAGTCCGATATTGATTCGATCCAGTCTTGACCCTGTCCGGTCCCAATTCGATCTTGATTTTATATTGAGCTTGTGGGGATTTGAGTGGCCTAAGGCCTGAAAAGGTGAGGAGCTGGTTAAGTTTTGTACTAAGTGCAAAGGTTTGTGACCGTTTATGCAAATTACTCTTAAGATTTGGGTGTTGAGCTCTCTTATCCGGTCTTTATCCAGTTTTTGATCCGGTCCCGAACGATTTTTTAGTTCAAATCTAAGCCCAAAGATTGGATTGGATTGTTTACTATCCGATCCCGGTCCGGTCTCAATTCGAGTTATACGGTCCAGTTTCGGGTAAAAGCAAAAAAACCCAAACCAAATAGCCAGCCCTACCCTCATTGTCTGCAGTTGAGTGATCATCCTCTTCATATTATTTGTTAGAGTCCATATCTTAATCGGGTTTTCAATTTATTGACAAACGACATTTTCATCGATAGTTTGCTTACATATGACTATAATATTGATTGGATTTAGTCGTGTAATTTGGTTTTTGCATTATGAGTTTATGTTATATTTTATATTATATAATTACTTTTCAGTTTTTTCAAAGCCCAACTTTTATAAGTATTTGGTTTGATTTCAATTGTTGAACAAAAATACTTAAAAAAATTGGGCCAAACATAGGCTTGAGGAAGTAGTGTGCAATGTCAGTCCGGTCAAAATCGGACCAAACTCATGATAACTACGATCCAATAGTGAAAGACATCTTAGAACCAAATACTCGGACCAAATATTGTATTTGGTCCGATCCAGATATCAATTCGGTTCATTTTTCTTCAGTATTTATAAAATTCATGAGGAGCAAGAACCGGACCACATTATATTCAGTTCGATATTATCCGATCCAAATGTCGATTTGCCAAATACAATCCGGTACGGAGGAAACTGTTGCACACCCCTAACTTTGGGTCTAATAAAAGCTAAGGATACACCAATTCTTGCACACAAAATTTGCAACCTAGTTATTCTGATAACTTGAAGATTCGTTAGTATATACTAACTAATATTCAAAATGTATGAACTAATATTCAAGTCTACTGAGTATCTAGATAGCACAGACTAGTATTCAAAATATCACAAACTAGTATCCAGATAGCATATACCAACTAATATCCACAATCAACCAACTAGTAATCAATATGGATACTCTTACGTAGGGGTGGCAGTTCGGTTACCGGTTATCGGTTAACCGGCCGGTTATCCACTAACCGGTAACCAAACGAAGTTCGGTTATCGGAGGCTGACGAAATGGTTTTTGGTCTTAAAAGTGGTTCGGTTAACCGATAACCGAGATAATCGAGAAACCAAAGCCTATTTCGGGCGGTTTTCGGTAGGGGGAGTGTTTATTTTGGTTAACCGATAACTGGCCAATCGGTTTTCGGTTATAACCGAAATAACCAAACTGCCACCCCTACTCTTATGTGTTATCTGTATACTAATTATGTGTTGTTTAGATATTATTCTGTGTTGTCTAGATATTAGTTTGTGAATTTGGGATAATAGTTGATCCATGGTGGATATCAGTTAGCAAACTTTGAATACTTGTTTGTGCACTCTAGATACTTTAGTACTTGGATATTAGCTCATGTTCTAGATATTAGTTTGTGAATTTGGGATAATAGTTGATCCAAGGTGGATATCAGTTAGCAAACTTTGAATACTTGTTTGTGCACTTTAGATACTTTAGTACTTGGATATTAGTTCATGTATTTTGGATTTCAGTTAGTATCTGCTGACGAATCTTGAAGTTAGCAGATTAACTTTCCCCCAAATTTTGGCCAGACTACAACCGCTGATCTGGTATCCAAACGGGCCTCGGAAAGCCAATAAACGAGACTCTCAAATTTTAAAGCCAACGAATGATTCACAACTGTTTGAAAGAGTAGTTCGACTTCGACTGGAAACATCATCGGTCAACGCAGGAATTTAGAATATGAATCGCTATTTGCCGCACGTAGTTATAAAAAACATGACGATTTTGCCCCTACCTCATTTTAAAAACACTAAACCTAACTACCCAAGTCCCAACCCTCCCTTCTGCTGCCTTCACCTCCCACCCCTGCTGCACACCGCCGGCCGCTCCTCCCTCTGCCGAGCTCCACCGCCGCCGCCCCTCCTTCTGCCTCGAGCCGCCGCCGCCGCCAGGAGAGCCGCCGCCGCCCATTCCCTCTATCGATCTCGGCCGCCACCGCCGAGGAGAAGCCGCCGCCGCCGTTGTTCTAGTCGTCGCCGCCGAGGTAATTTTTTATTTATTTTTAAATCATTCTCGCCGCCGTCCGACAGGCAGGAGCGGACGCGGTCCGCCAAGTCTGGTCGGACCCCGTCCGCCCGGTCTGATCGGAACAGTCTGGTTGGGTTTCTAATTCGATTTAAATAAATATTTATTATATTTATTTTAAATACAATTTTTATTATTTTAATTAGTTTAATATTGATAGTTGAATATATAATTAGTATATAATTGTTAATTTAATTTTTAATTGTATAATGTGTTAGTTTATTAATTGGGTAAGTTGAAATAATTATTTAAATAACTATCTATCGTATTGATAAATTGATAAATTAGTAATTGATAAATTATGACTATGAACAAATTGCTAATCAAATAATTTATTATAAGAGATTAATAGATAATTATTGACTATGCTAATAGATAATTTATTATAATAATTATCTAAATAATTATTTGGATTAAATAAATTGTAAATAATTGTTAATTTTAAATAATTATCTATGATGTTGTAGTTAAGTAATTGAGTAAGGTGAAATAAATATTTAAATAACTATCTATCGTATTAAGTAAAATAACTACCTAGTTAAATTAATTAGATAACAAATTGTATATATCATAATTACTCTATGAAACAACAAGTAATTGCTCAACAAATAATTTATTATAAGATATTAATAGAAAATTATTGACTATGTTTAGAGATGGTGTCACCTGGTAATTCTGGAGGAGCTGCAAAGAGATTGAGAAGATTCATTGGGCATGACATTAGCGCTAGTATGAGAAATAGGGACCCAAATGATAGAGATGAGTCACAGCCACAGCCACTAGTGACACCGATGAGTTTGAGGGCAGACGGTTTTCCTTATTTTGATTTTCAGTTGCCTACTATGGCTGGTAGTGGAGCTGGTCCCAGTCGTGATCATGCTTCACCGTTTGAGCCTTCAGACGAGATTGATGACGAGTCAGAGGAGTATGAGTCGGATGCCGTTGAGTATCGCATTCCACCAGTCAGTCCGATCAGAGACAGAGGTGCCCCCAGTGGATCGTCACATGTCGTTACTGGGGTTCATGCTGTTATTGGGATCTATAGAGACCATGCGGGGAGTTTCTATAGAGCTCCACAGCCTGGTGAGGGCCAGAGTGGTACTGCTGATGTGGGAGACCCCTGGGAGCCTAGAGGACCGTGTGCTGGAGGGCCGAGCGACCCGAGTTTGCTCCGTATCTTTCTTGGGCATGTTGTCCACCGTCTGTACACTGGAGAGGCTGATAGAGAGGTGATCACTTGCTACGACAGGATTTCGACCCTTCGCCACATTCTCGACGGTAATGTGATAGCAGATGATAACGCTAGGACTACCGTAGAGACATCGGGCCTTGCTCACCTCGTTGATATCACCTTCCAGAGCGAGCTGGACCGTGCTCTCATCTCGGCATCTGTGGAGAGGTGGCAGCCGGATACCAACACCTTCCACATGCCGTTTGAAGATATGACGATCCTCCTTCACGACGTGGCACACATTCTTGGGCTTGCGATTAAGGGAGAGGCGATGGTAGTGGATCTGAGGCAGTTGGAGAAGTGGGCACTGGATGCTGACATCTGATCACTAATGGGATTAAATCGTGACGATTCTGAGTACGGGGCGCAGGTTGGCGAGGTTGCCAGTCTGTCTAGGTGGTATAGAGGATTTGGTTTGTTGGGTGTGGGAGCTTTGACTCATTTGCAGCAGTCTGGTCCGCCATCTAGAGAGGCTTAGTGTTACCTTCTTTTGCTGCTTGGGTCCACACTGTTCGTAGATAAGAGTAAGGACCGCGTTTCTACTGTTGTCAACTTGTTTGTGAAGAGGCCGGATATGTTAGGAGAGTACGCGTGGGGGGCAGGAGCACTTGCTTATCTGTACAGGCAGCTTGGTATTGCCTCCCGGGCGGTGGCTAAGGGAGTGGCGGGTTGTCTGACTTTTACTACAGTGTTGGATTTACAACCACTTTCCTACCTTGAGACCTAGTCGGTTGGAGCCACGAGAGCTGGAGCAGGGGCAGGCAGGAGCATTCAGGTGGCGCGGTACAGCACCCCAGTCGACGAAGAAGAGGGATGCATAGATGCTGGCTTATTATCGGCAGGCGATTGATAGTTTGAACCCTCAGTCAGTTTGTTGGACTCCGTATGGTCAGAGTCCTCATCTGACGGTGAGACGTACCTTGTATCAGGGCCTGCTCAGATTTGTAGAGATAGTAGAGCCATATGATCCCACTAGGTGCCTCCGACAGTTAGGCTACGTGCAGAGTGTACCGTATCCCCCGGAGCGTCCGCTTGTTGTGCGTCGACCTGCTTCCACGCTTGGATACTCTCTTAGCTACCAGTCTGTTTATGATTCGTGGTGGAACAACTTGGGGGCGCATAGTGTGCATCTGGACCTTTATTCTACTCCGGTACGACGTAGGCCATGGGAGTTTGCTGAGGATTACATGGGGTGGTACATTAGGCACTCGCACCCACAGATACTGAGTGACAGTCGACCTCGTCGCGACATCACGGATGTTGATACAGTTAGTACGATCATATTTGAAATTATTTGTATTAAGTAAAATTTTGTTTGATTGCAACTAATATGTATTTAAATTGTATGGTTTTTGTTTATAGTTGTCACACGAGATGTGGATTGAGATATCTCCCGTGATGGAAGCTGCACAAGGTAGTAGGGAGGAGTGGATGGCTAGCGCCAACGAGTACTACGACTTATGTTATGGAGTTGGGAACATGTGGCCCGAGTTTAGGAGGAAGTCGGGTTTTCTACCACCTCCACAGTAGTTGTATGATTGTTATGTCATATGTATGAGTGTTATTTGTTGTTTTTAGACGAGTTGACTTATGTTATTTTGTTGTTCTTCTACGACTTATGTTATGTAGTGTTCTGTTGTTCTACTACGACTTATGTTATGTCATAACTTGACATCCACACCTCAAGCCGTTTGTCACAGAGAAATGACATGCACATATGGAGTTCTCATTTTTTTCCAAGCGGGCCACCAATTCTTCTTCAGTGTTGACCTTCCTTCTCAAGTATGTGAAGGGTGTACCACCGGATGCTGAAAGGGTTTTCTGTCTAGAGTTTTCCAACATCATCCTAACCTCCCCGAGTTGGTTAGTAATATAGCGGTGGTTTCCCTTCCATACAGTGTCCATAGATCCCCGCGAGTTGTGGAGGAAAGTTTTCAAAGCGGAATGTGACGACTCAACCCTGTTTGTGCTTGTATTTCCTAGATGAAACACATTTTTGGTATGGCAAACTGCCCACTTTTCTCGATGTTGCCACCACACTCCCTGTATGTATTGCAACAGACGTGGTTCGTGATTGCCCCATCTTGTCCTAAAGCGGCCAAACGCGGCCAACATATCTTGCTCGGACCAAGAATAAAGCATGGACACCAATATTGATCGTACGCCTCGTTGACCAAATCCATCCTGTCCTTCCCAAATATTTCCAAACACTTCTTCTGCACATTGGTGTTGATGTGCCAAACACATAGCAAATGCGGGGTGCGGGGGAAGACCACAGAAACCGTAGCAAGTAGTCCACCTTTGTGGTCGGTTACGATGACAGTGGGCACGCGTGGATGGAGCAATTGTTGTATGCACTCCAACAGCCAATGATAAGACTCTTTTGTCTCATCCTTCATGAGAGCACAACAGATGTTGAAATTCTTCCCAACTGGAGTAGCACCTACGACCTCCACCCACGACCATTTATATGCATTGGTCTTATACGTTGAGTCGATCAGAATCACGTACCGCCAAGCCTTCAACATCTGGATGGAAGTTGGATGGGCAAAAAAAAGATGTGTAAGCACATCGTTATCGTCCTTCATAACCTCTGTATGATAATTCTCACGTTCAGCTGCTTGCAACGCATACTGCACTGCATTCATCTCGCCCATCTCGTCTTTCCTAGACTTGGACCCGAGGTTATACATCTGCCTTTGGGTGTGATGCCCTTTGTCACCCTTCTGCTTGTTTATTGTATGCTTCTGTTATAACGGAGGTACCCCAACATCTCTCATCTGCTTCAGAGATTCTTTATCCTCCTGACTCAATTTATTCATTTGACTGTGGCCCACATGATAAAGCATCTTCTCATGATTGTGATACCCTCACCTTAAACCAGTTTCTTGCTCAATCACTGCTTGTATCTCCCAAAATGAAGGTCCATCAAGAGCATCTGGATCAACCAGTAGTTCTTTGATTTTAACCTTGAACATGCATCTCGATCCTTTTGAACTTGTATTGCCACGACTCTCTTTGGAAGGATCCGGCTTGTATGACTTCCTCTCCCTACTGCATTTGTCGCAATACATGTAACACATACCCAATACTCTATTATTGTGCAACTCACGTGGCTTCATCGATCCCTTAGTTACAAAGAAACCAAGAGACATCGTGATGTTTTTGGTCACTGTTACAGCATCTTCGAAATTGTCATATCGGACGCCATTTAGAAAATGGTCTGTGTAATCACCAATTAGTTCAACATTGTAAGTCATGTCCACCTGCAATTATGATTTCACAACTCGTTAGAAAGGTACAAATCATATGATTCTACAAAATTAAACTAAATTAATTAACTCTACAAAATAAAAATAATTTGACGATAAGAAATTTAATTAAATATAAAATTTTAAACCAAATTAGCTCTACAAATTAAATCTAAACACAATAACTAATTACCGCTACAATAAAACACAATTACTTAATTAAACTAATTGTGCTTCAATTGACTCTACAAAATTAAACTAAATGCAATAATTTAGTTAACTCTAAAAAATAATGATAATTTGACGATAAGAAAATTATTTAAATATAAATTATTAAACTTCTTTAGCTCTATGAATTAAATCTAAACACAATAAACTAATAAGCGCTACAACAAAACACAATCGCTTAATTAAACTAATTGTGCTTCAATTGACTCTACAAAATTAAACTAAATGCAATAATTATAACTCTAAAAAATAATGATAATTTGACGATAAGAAAATTATTTAAATATAAATTATTAAACTTCTTTAGCTCTACGAATTAAATCTAAACACAATAAACTAATTAGCGCTACAACAAAACACAATTGCTTAATTAAACTAATTGTGCTTCAATTTACTCTACAAAATTAAACTAAATGCTATAATTTAATTAACTCTAAAAAATAACGATAATTTGACGGTAAGAAACTAATTAGCGCTACAACAAAATACACTCGCTTAATTCAAACTACATATGAATTTAACTATGTGAAATAGAAATAAAAGCAATAAATTAAATATAAATTATTAGCTCTAGAATTAATAATATGTCTCAAATAAAAAAAAACACTGCCGGCTATCACCGTCCGCCTCCGGCGAGCGGACGGGCAAAAAAATACAGGCCAGGAGGTCAGTCACGGGGGTTTACCTGATTCGCTGGTCCGACGATGGGGTACGCCTGCCGTCCAGTGGCCGGCGAATTATGCTGACGAGATTGGTCCGGTGACCGGCGACTTAGGCTGCCGTCCGGTGGCCGTGAATCTGGCTATGGTGTTTGAGGGGGATTGGTGGTCGGGTGGTGTGTATGTTGTTTAAAAAACCATTTCAGCAAATAGAATATAAAGAAAAATTTGGAGGGCAAAATTATTTTTTAGGTTTTTTTACGAGCAGCAAATAGTAACCCTCACGATAGATCAAATTCAGTTTTAACTACGTAGAACACAGTTAGCAGCTGCTAGACGATTGTTGAGAAGACGCATTAAGCCTTCTTACACGAAACATGATGATGGTTAAATCCAGTACGTGATACATCATGATTTCAGAATGTTCCACAAAGTTCTACCATGAAAGATTACAGTCCATTTTGCTCCTTTTCCTAAGCCTCAAAACTAACGAGGAAAGACCAAAGCCTCTTCACTTACACAACGGCATTACACCATCTCCAAAACTGGAATCGAAAAGGGTTTCATGAACTACTGCTTAAAAACCACCCTACAACTCATCCTTAACCTCAGACGCCTCTATTTCGAAATCATCACCTTTCGTGGCACCAGAAGCAGCTTCTTCCTCCTTGGTCTCGCTTTCCTCCACCTCTTCCTCCTCTTCCACTGCAGCATCTGGACTAATGCTCAAACTCGTCTTCACCGAGCCATAAATCCTTGACGCGAAATCCTTAGGATCGCTCACCATGAACCCGCTCTCCACCAGAGCCGTCTGGTACATCAGCTGAGCTGTTGCCTTGATGCCCTCATCCTGTCAGAAAAACAAAGAAAACATCAGCATTTTGTATTCCTCAAACAGAACTATGTTACTACTAAAAGGAGTTTAGGCTGCCTCTGCATGCCATCTCCCACGCATTACCTCAGGGTCCTTGGCGACTCTCTCGCGAAGCTCTTTAACGATTGGGTGCCTCGGATTGACCTCAAGCACCCTCTTCCCTCTCATGTACCCTTGCTTGCTGGCGTCAGACAGCGTCTGAGAGTGCATGATCCTCTCCATGTTGCCGCTCCACCCGTACTTGTTTGTTACGACCACGCAGGGTGTGTCCGCCAGACGGTTGCTGACCTTCACGTCGTCGACGTTCCAGCTTGCCAAGGCAGACTTCCACCACTTGGTCAGATCCTTGAATGCTTCCTTCAGTTCTTTGACACCAGAGTCGGCGATTTTCACTCCTTCCTTGGACACGTTCTGGAACTTCCTGTCCTCGTAGTCCATCAGGTATTGCATCAGGTACTCGTCAACAGGGTCGGTGAAGTAGATCACCTCGTATCCCTTCTTGATCAGCCTCTCGAGGAATGGGGATTTTGCGAGCTGCTCTTTGTCTGATCCGGTAATGTAGAAGATGTCCTTCTGTCCCGACTTCATTCTCGAAATGTACTGGTCGAGTGAGGTGAGCTTGCCGTCCGACTTCGAACTGTGTATGGAATTTAGTTTTTGTAGTTAACTACTGTTAAATGAGCAATGATATTAGCTTGTTGATGAAGCTACGAATGGTGAAGAGAAACTTACCTTTCGAATCGAAGAAGCTTGGCCAAGCGATTCCTGTTGGCAGCATCCTCGATAATGCCAAGCTTGATTGATTTGCCGAACTCATTCCAGAACCTTGCGTACTGGCCTTTCTTCTCGTTGTCGCCGGATTCCTCAATATCTGTATGCCATTAGGATTAGTGTTGCGCATGTAAAGTTACTGTAAGGGCGGATGGCAATCTTAGTAATCATATCGTATGTAGTTTATCCATTTCGAACTCCTAAGTGAAACTCGGCCCCGTTCAGAAACGACCATGCATTGTGAAAATAGAGGAGTTTACGAGACATGTGAGTTCGTTAAAGATTATAGCACAAGGGATGTGTTCGTTAAAACAATATGGTACAAGGACCAGATAATAATTAACCATCAAATGGTCAAGCTTGGCACAAGTTGATAACAGTCATTACCTTTCTTGTCCTTGTCGGTTGACTCATCAGGATCTTCCTCGTACAGTTTTCGGATCATATCAAGAGCCTTACGGATGAGTTTCTTTTTAATAGTTTTCAAGCTGCTATGTTGTTGAAGCATTTCTCGTGAAACATTGAGGGGCAAAGTGTCGGAATCAACCAGACCCTGCCGAAAGTGTAAGTCAAGCAAGCATCAGCACTCAACGTTCAAAGAGTGAACTTTCGGAACAAATGAAGATACTCAGAAAAATAATTATATCTACCTTCAGGAAGTTCAAGTACTTGGGTAGAAGTTCGTCAAATTCATCTGAGATGAAGACACGTCTGACATACAACTTCAGGTTGGACTTATTGTTGTTGTAATAGCTTTCGTAGAGATCATGAGGAGCCTTCGGAGGAACAAAGAGGACCGCTTTGAATTCAACATCACCTTCTGCGGTGAAATGGCTCCATGACATAGGCTTCTCTTCACCAAAATCCTATCAAGTAAAAGAAACCCAGAACAAAGTATCAGCGAAAACATAGGAAGCTATAATTTAGAAGGGTATCTTGGTGCACTCTTGATTGATTCATGTGAATTACCTTGGCGAGAGAGTGGTAGAACTTGGTGTACTCTTCATCAGTGACATCTTTTGGACTCCTCAGCCATATGGCTTTAACATCATTCAAGAGCTCCCACTCTTGAGTGGTTTCCTTGACTGTCTTTGTCTTTGGCTTGTCTTCCGATTCTTCATCGTCTCCCTTCTCGGTGTCCTCTTCTTCAGCTGTTATATTGTAGAACAAACATGAAACAAATGAGAAAGAAGTGAACTATCACTATTGCGAGTTAATCAATGGCAGAAAGTTCCACAGATACACACGTTTGTCTTCTTCCTCAGTTGAGTCATCCTCATCAGCAGGGACCTCCACATCAATCTCCTTAGTTGACCACAGATTGATAGGGAAGTTGATAAACTCGGAGTATCTCTTCACAAGATCCTACGGTGATAGAAAAAAACAGTAACATTCGAGTTAAAAATTTGTTACTCGAAATAGGAAACTTACTATTGTATCCACTCCAGTAAGTCATACTTACTTTCAGTTTGCTTTCTTCCAAGTATTCCCCTGCTTCCTCTCTGAGATGCAGTCTAATCTCAGTACCACGTCCCAGTGGTTCATTCCATGTATCCTCAGAAATGGCAAAAGCTCCATCAGCCTTTGACTCCCACACATACCTGATACATTAGATCACTAAATTAACCTTCTTGCAGAAACAAATCATGGAGTTCAGACTACTACTCAAGAAAAAAGTTACTCACTGTTTGTCGTCATTATGTTTGCTAATGACTTCGACATAGTCAGCAACAAGATACACAGAGTAGAAACCAACTCCGAACTGCCCAATTAGGTTCAAGTCCCCGCTAGTTTGCATTTTCTCCACAAATGCTACAGTGAAAAACAATTTACGTCAAAAGTTATCAGAGACTCGAATTGGGTACATGGAAGAAACCAAGTTCAGAACATTTGAACATCCAAAGCTACCTGAAGTTCCAGACTTGGCTATGGTTCCCAAGTTCTTGATCAAATCCTCCTTGGTCATACCAATACCTCTATCACGGATAGAAAGAATCTTCTTATCCTTGTCCAATTTCATCTACATTCGCCAGCCGCATACCAAAGGAATTCAGCATTCTATTCTGAAACTATGTTCACAATGAAGTAGGTAGCTTAACTACAAACACTAACCTGAATCTCAAGCTTGGCAGTATCGCCATCGCCCAGAACTTCTTTATCCGTAAGAGAAAGGAATCTGATCTTGTCCAACGCCTAGAATTCAAGCCAGATTCCAATTCAAATCACGCGAGTTCAGGATCTCAACAATACTAATTTCGAAACAAAAGAAAAACGTTCAAATCTACGAGCTAAAAGTGCAAACTAGACAGAGAGCTCACATCGGAAGCGTTGGAGATCAACTCCCTAAGGAAGATGTCCTTGTTGCTATACAGAGAATTGATGAGAATATCCATCAGCCGAGACACCTCAGCCTGGAACTCGAACTTCTCCGCACTGCTGCGCAGCGTTTTCTTCATCGACTCCGACTCCCTGCCATCCGCCGCACAAATAATCATTCAGAACTCCAGCAGATTAAGAAATCGCCAGACATTGCCAAAAACTCCAATCAAACTTACCTCTTCACGACGTCGGAATCCGTGGCGGAACCATGAGGAACGGCGCCGAGCTTCTCCTCGACCTTCGGAGGATCGGCCGGACTCTGCGAATCGCCTTCGGCATTCGCTCTCAAGTTCCGTCCTGAAGTTAAGGATAAACACACAGATCTTCGATCAGAAAAAATCTCAGAGAGAGAGAGAGAGAGAGAGAGAGAGAGAGAGAGAGAGAGAGACTGAATCAATAGGTGAAAAGTGCAAGAGAAGACACAACAGCTGACCTTGATCTGAGATTAAGCAGAGGAGGCAGAGGAGAATCAAGGCGGAAGGGACTGTCCACTTCCCCATCGTCGGGAGAGATCTACTCGATGCTCTCACTGGTTGTGATTTCTTTCCCTCACTGGAGTCTTCGAATCAAAAAAATGCTCAGTCGACCTCGAGACTGGTGTTTTTTTTCCAGCCAAGGAGTGTGGTTTTAAGGTGAAGAGAACCCATGAAGGTTTTTGAGCATTTTCAGATCTCCAGTCATTGTTTTTTTTCCTTTTCCTTCGCTTGGATTGGGTTAAAATCTTTATGGTGACAGCGTGGAGGATTGGACGGCAGATTAGTGTGGTAATCACACGTGGCAGGCTGCGAATGGCGGGTGCATCGCGGCTTGACGTGGAGAAAATGAGTGGTGCAGGCGGGCCCATGGGTGACTTTAGAAAACCCGATTCGCGGGTGACCGCAAACGAGGTTGCCACGATGGATGATCGAACGGGCCTCGTGACGTCGAGCTTAGCACGTGGCGCGATATAATTGGAAGTTTGTTCTGTATTTGTCGTGGAAGGAGCTGATGTCTCTGGCTCTGGATCTGGGGCAATGTTCGGAGTCATGAATGAATGGTTCGGTAAAAAGAGTTGGGTAAAAAAAGCCCATGGGCATAGCGCAAGCCCATATTTTCAGCAATAAATGATGGGATAGTAATTATTAATAAAAATCCAATAATAATTCTAGTCTTACTCGGATAACAACTCCTCTCCTACTCAAATATAAAATTCCAGCCGAGTGTATATAAATTATGCGTCAAAATCAATGGATTTGCGTTGCTCATTGGTTTTTTGGTGCCGGAAAAACCTTTAATTGTATTTCTTGCTGGCTTTTTTGTGGATCAATCATGGCATCTTCTTCCTCCATGGCGCAGCAGAATCAGGCTTCTGCTTTGCCTAAACCAGGACAAGGTATTCAATTTTGGGTTTTGCTGCTGTTAATTTGTGTTGATGTGTTTTATACGTTTCATTATTGTGGTTTAGGGGTTTTTAGATTGGATGTTTGTTAGGGTAGAACTTAGGTTGGTTTTTGGAGCGCTAAATCGCTGATTTGGAATGGACGTTAAATAATTCAAGAACTACTTTGTTTGTGAGCGCGAATTTTGTGGCTGATTTAGGTGTTTTAAATTAGCAAGAGAGAGAGAGAGAGAGAGAGAGAGAGAGACGGTTGTCTGTCGAGGAATGGTCATCGTTGAGGATGTTTTAAGTGTTTTAAATTAGCAAAATTATAATAAGACTAGAGTGACATATAGCTGCGCAAATATTAATTTATACAACTATGCACTGATATAAGAGAAGTCACTTTTCTTTGAATTAACTCGTTCTATTCTATCTATCCGTGGTTTGTTTTTTTCATTTCTTTCCTAAATGTTATTCGTTTCGTACGATGGTTTGATGCCATAAACATATGTATTTCACACTAAAATCTCTAGCTATTCTCTTTCTTCTTCTTTTTATCCATAAAAGAATTGCTCTATTTTTTGTGCACCTTTCAATTTTAGCAATTGATAATAAATTTAAACGAATTGAATGACGACACTTGTTTTTTGGGTCTTAATTGTAATACTTCCCTTCGTTATGCATTCTGCTTTCCTTCTTTGATAACCATTCTTTGAAATGCAAAATATATATATTTTATATATAAAAACATTGCATTCTTTTTTCATTGTAGATGGTGATGAAGAAGAGGGGCTAAGTATATTATCCATGCTTTGGGTTTTCCTGGGTGGACTTGGAGGTGCTGTGGCAATGGATGGATTCCTAGAACTGATCAAGTTTGACAAAACGTTGGGGCCCGTGGATGTTAGTTTCGTGATGTGCATGGTGCTTGGGTTTGCACATGTGGTGGGCTTCTGCTTACCGTGGCCTCGTCGAGATGACGAGCTGCCTCGCTTGGGGTCTACTCGGCAAATTATATTGCAAATGGTTGCGTTACTAGCAGCAATCGTGGCTAGGCATTTCCCCCCTCATTCCAGTTCTATCGTATTTCAACTATTGATATCTTCGTCAATAGTATTTTTTGTTTGGATTAAATATTGTTCAGTTGCTCTTCATATCCGCGGTGTTAGTATAAGCGATGTCTTCGTGGCTGTTACGGCACAAAGTTTGATTTATTGGACACCTTATTGGGGAGCGATTATCTTCTACGTATGCATTGTTGGCTACAAATTATGGAGGGGCGGCTTCAAAAGAAAAAGTCATCCGGTTGGAGCCATTCACGCACAAGAGATCATAGAACCCCAACTCCAGAAGAAGGAATCGGAATTAGTTATACACATACCATCACAAAACAACACTCAATCTATTTCTTCTGCTGTATAAGATAAGAACAATGATGTACTTTAATTTCCAGGACCTCAAATATAAGTTAGCCGGCATTATTTCCGTGAAGGAGCAAACAATATTATTATTTATCTATTCTTTCTTTTTTTAATCTTTTGTACTAGGTACTCTTTATATATACTATGAATGAATGAGACTACTCGTAGATATACATATGTTATTTGGTGTACATCCGATTTTTAGTTATATTAATCTCTATATCTCGACACATATACATACATACATGTAAAAGAGACTCTCGACAAAAAAATTGGGGATTTTTCCAGAAATAGCACCTTAAAAAAATTACAAAAATAGTACCCATCCGAAAAAATTTACACTAATAGCACCTTTTTAATGGACCGCACCTCTAAGGTGCGTTCCATATTCCTGGACCAAAACCGCATCTTGGCCAAGCGGTTTTAGGTCTGACCTACAGAAACCGCTTGTCCGAGGTGCGGTTTAGGCCTGACCTATCAAAATCGCATCATGAAGGTGCGGTTTGTTTCTCCCAAACAAAACCGCACCCCCAAGGTGCGATTTTGCCATACAAACCGCACCTTGGAGGTGCGGTTTTGGTCAATCAATTTCCGACAAGCCATGCAGAATAATAGACGTAACAGACGTGGGTCTGCATGGGAGACGAAAACCGCACCTCTAATGTGCGGTTTTCATCAGTGATTTTGCCTATAAAAGGCCTCCCGGAAAACCACTTCTCTTCACACCTCTCCTTCTCCCTTTTCAATTTTCTGTTGTAGCTCTATATTTCTTTAGTAGTTTTGCGATTAACGTTAACTCGTAAGTTTATTTAGTATTACTTTTTATTATTATTTTTTATTTTTATGAAGATAAATGTCGCTACCAGACCGCTGCTTGAAGACCTCCATCAAATGTGCACTAACGTTACTTGCATGGATGGCACGAGAAGAGTTGATCGTATGGTGTACCGATATCCAAACAGAGAAAGTGGGTCATTGTGGCATGAGTAATATCTCATAACCACTCAGATGAGGTAGATGCCATGCTCAAATTCATGAGGTCCAACAATCTTTCCAAAACCGAGATGTTCGTTTACACCGAGCCGGTCGTAGGCGTTGGAGGTCATTCTGGACACGGTCAAACATCTGGTATCCATGGTGGGCGTGAATTATTAGCGATCATCCCTACCAAAGTTACCATGATCCTCATTCATATTTTCAGTACCAAGAGCAAGGTGAAGGTCATCATCAATATTTCCCGTCATACCAAGAAGAAGTTCAACCGGACCTCCCCAACCAACCTCAGTATAACTTCCACTCAGGCAGCGGTAGTTTTCACAACTACCATTATGGAGCTGATGAAGGTGCCTTTCATGAGCTGGATCAGATGGAGGATGCCCTGCTGATAGGGCAAAAGCGTATCGCTTCAATTCCTATCTTGTAGTAAACCGGAAAGTCCGGGTATCGTCTCTCAGGGACTGGTACAACCTTATATTCTATCAAATTTATGAGCAAACTATAAGTGAAAATGGTTTGAGATATAAACTAAATTTCTAAAAGCAAAATAATTAAACTAATTAAGCAAAGTAAACTTGTCGGGAGAAATTCAATGGGAGAAGCTCTGGGAGAAACACCGGGATTCACTACCTATCCTATCCAGATTAATTCACATACTCCAATCAATTTAATCCAACTCTCTACAGCCAGGATATCACGAATGTGCTAGCTATCCCTGTCGGGAATTACTACGTACTAAACAATTAAATCAAATCCTACTGTCGTAGCTCAATGACCTAATTATTTAGCCTGAAGATCGATATCCTATTTAAGACCGCATAGCACCTTATTTAATCCACTGTCGCTTCGATAAGTTACTATGTCACATGAAATAGGTTCAGTTATTAGGGTTTCACTGTCGCTAATAACCTAATTAACTACAAATCGATGTATTGGTGGCCAGTCAACACAAAGCATTAAGCAATTCCATGCAATAGAGATTGGAAGAAAAGAATCATAAATCAATCCATCAAATCAAGAAATAGCTACATCCTATGGTGTTTCCCCCAGAAATTGGGGTTTAGTTCATGACGAAATTAAGATAAATCGATAGGGTTTTGTTCATCATGTTCTAAAACAACAAGAAACAACTAATTAGGTTTAGAAAATCCAACCAACTAATCGCTCTCGTTGAACTCAGCTCAGGCCTTGCTCGATCGCCAATCTCAATCGCACTGCTGCTCCGCTTTTACTTTCGTCCCTTTCTTTCTTCTCAAGAGAATCCGTCCGCGCATAATTAAGTGCCGCCTTCTCCTCTTAATAATTTCGTTCCCCCCAGCCTAATTCCCTGTCCGTCCCAAAAAACCAAAACCTCCCCTCAAAAGTCTCTGGCCCAAAACAATAAAGTTCCTTGGCAATTAATTGCTTCCCGGTCCAAGAGAATTTTCGTGTCCAATTCCCCAGGTAAAGGACAACCGAGATGGCCACCCAAAATCCACTTCCAAGTCCAATTCTTTTCCCCCAGCTCCGTTCGCCCTGCTCAATTAGTCAAGCCCATTCCGTCCCCTGGCCCAAAAAATATAATTCCCCTGCTCCAAATATTGCTTCTTTTTCGTGTTTTCTCCACCTGCATCATATCAAACTCATGGCACTAGGCAGTAATGGTTTTTCAACCATTTCCGGGTTAGCGAGCCCTAAAATAGCACCAATTGGCTAAAACATACCACGGATAATCACATAAAGTCCAAAAATTCAATATGTTAAAGCCGATTATCAGAACCCCACACTCAATTGTTGCTTGTCCCTAAGCAACGACTCAAACAACACAAACACAAAACCATCCAAAACAATGACACACCACAGACTCAACACTCATACAAAACAAAATTTTCCTTGTACTCTTGTTGTAATCAGTAGTTTCTTTCTCAACGAACAAGTTGTGCTTTAATGATCATACCTTTCACCCCACACTCAAGGTCTTTGCAACCCTTAACCATTGACTGACTCAAATCCATCCAAAAACTCAAATAGCAACACTCAATTTCGATCGTCGGTAGTGGGTGGTTAACAACTTATGGTGCAACAATTATTAGGAGAATCTAACCACATCAGTGAGGTGCATATCTCGTGAGGACAATCTGGCTTACTCACACCAATCATAAGCAATTAATTAAGCATGAGTCTCAAAAACAAATGGGGGAAGCCTTTCGCAAACATGATTTTAACTTTAAGCACATCACTACCTTTTATGACAAGGAGAGGCTTTCTCTCTTTCTGTTTTTGCTTGCCGAGAGGTCGTATTTAGTACAAGTGGGATTTGTTTCTTACTACCGGTGACCGAGCAAGAGCAATTTCTGCTTCTTAGCACTTGCATAAGGGCTTCTTTTAACTCCTTATCCTCGGTCCGTGTGGAGGGTCATTGCTCCTCAAATGGCACTTCACTCAACTGGGGATCGTACTTGATAAGCAACATCGTACGGTCGCGAACCGATTCTCAATTGAATCTTTCCTCATCCCCATGTGCAATGAGTGATTGCCTCACACGATTTTGGCATTTTTACCCACACTTTAATTGTTATGGCAACTTTCTTATATTTTACTTGTCAGGTAGTGTTTTCTTTTATGAAGATACAGTTCACCCCATCATAAAACAATCAAAACAGAGAAACTCGTTGCCAAATCAAAAGCTCACAATTGATGCAAGTAAGCACGGTATCCAAACATGTCGAGTGGTCAATGTTCTCCTCCTAACTACTTCACCAAAAGTCGTTACACTATCCTCACAAAAGAGAATGTTGCTAAAAGAGTTGCTCATTCAAAGCATATCAAGTCAGTCAAAATATCAAGCTCATTGTGAAGAACTATGCAATTCAACACTAGTGGGGTGATTTCGATGATTTCATTCAAGCGCAAACTCATTTTCAAGGCATCACGGTCATTTACATCATGTTACCACAAGAGTACAAGGTTTTGTTTTTGATTTTTCTGATTTTTAGGTGTTTTTTTTTAGCCATTAGATTAACACAGGCAGCTTGCTTTTTACACAGGCAGACTGCTTTTTACACAGGCAAACTGCATGCAGTTTGGCTGTGCTCAACCTAATGGCAATTTTTTTGCTTTTTTGTTTTTTTGTTTTTTTGGATTTTTTGTTTTTTGTTTTTGTTTTTTTTTTTTACCGACCACATGACAAAAGGAACAAACAAAATTTTTTTTTTTTTTTGAAATTTTATTATTATTATTTTTTTTACTGACCACATGACAAAAGGAACAAACAAACACTAAGACTCGCCACCCCACACTCAGGATGGAACATTGTCCCTAATGTTCAACTCCTAATCTAAACATGCACGGGTTTGACACAACTAAAAATAAAAATAAAGAAAAGAAAACTTACCTTGGGTTGCCTCCCAAGAAGCGCTTGTTTAACGTCCTCAGCCTGACGTTCATGGAGCTTTCAACCAATGGGTATGGAAAGGTATCCAGCATACCCTCCCGAGCAATGATAGAACGCATAGCCTCCATCTAACATATGAGTCACCTCTGCAGGGCCAGGTGTGCGAAAATTGGGTACGACCTTCTTAGCTGGCATGTTAGACCCTTTAGTGAGGCGTAGGTGGTACTGCAGCGCCTCAAGCAAGTACTCTTCCTGTTTCAATGTCAGTGAAGAAGGAATAATAACAGGAATATTGAAATCCTTACCCAAATATCTATACTTGAGGTGACCTGGCAAGGATTTCTGCCCTTGCTTTGATTTCAGAATCTGAGCAGATAGGATAGGTGATAGTTCTTTGGATGGTCCACTATCACAGGAAGAGGGATTTTTCCTTTCTCGAGCTCCACTTTCAAAGTCATCAAATGCATCGTGATTATGATCAATTTGAAAGACATTAAAAATTTCCTCCTCCTTACCTACTCGGAATGTCAACTTGCCTCTCCCAACATCGATGAGTGCATCGCCAGTGGCTAGAAAAGGTCTACCAAGAATGAGAGGCACTCCCCGATCTTCTTCCATCTCCAGAATCACAAAATCTGTAGGGAGAATAAACTTCCCCACCTTCACCAATACATTCTCCACCACTCCTTTTGGAATTTTTACTGATCGATCAGCCAATTGGAGAGTGATCCGAGTAGGCTTAAGAACATCTCCCAATCCCAATTTCTTGTAGACTGAGTATGGCATCAAATTAATTCCTGCTCCAAGATCACAAAGTGATTTATTGAATTCTGTACCTCCAATGACACATGGAATGGTGAAGCTGCCCAGATCATCCCTCTTTTCTGGTAATTTATTCTGAATCACAGCACTACATTCAGAAGTAAGGGTTACCTTCTCCAGATCAGCCCATTTGCGCTTCTTTGTCAGCAACTCCCTTAAGAATTTAGCATATGTAGGCATCTGTTCAAGTGCCTCCGCCAACGGTATGTTGATATGAAGTTGCTTGAAGATATTCACAAATTTCTTGAAGTTTGGATCTTCCATGGGCTTCATTAACCTTTGAGGGAATGGTGCGGGAGGTTCATAAGGCTTTACCTCTTCATTCTTCAATTTTTCCACTTTTTGAGGTACACGGGCAGCATGCTTTTGCACAGGCAAACCGCTTTCATTTTGCCTGTGCAAGGCTGATTCTTCATTTTCTGCACAAGATCTTTCTCCCGGTGCTTCCTCTTCTGCCTCTGGTGCCTTTTTCGAGCTGCTAGGGTCTTCCAAGGCCTTTCCACTCCTCAATGTCACTGCTACAACCATGGCATCCTTCGGATTCCTCTCAGTATTTGCTGGTAATGTCCCAGGAATCCTGCCTTGCATATCTGCCAAAGTTTGAGCCATCTGTCCCATCTGCCTCTCCATAGCTAGCATAGACGATTGTAAATTATTGTTGATGGCTAGCTGTTGAGTGACAAATTGATCCAGACCCTTGAAATTATTATCTGTTTTCTGCATATGAGCCAAAATCAACTCCTCCAGCTGGGGCTTCTTCTCTGGTTGAGGCTGCTGCTGTTGAAAACCAGGAGGTGGGATGTTTCGAACACCAGCTGGATTATTGTTTGACCATGACATATTGGGGTGATGTCTCCATTGAGGGTTATATGTATTTGAATACATACCACCCTGACCTTGACTTCGCGGATTATTGATATACTGAATATCTTCCAACTGAGCAGCTCCCAGCGGACACATATCCCTATGATGAGGACCCTCGCAAAGTTCACATGAAGCAACCTCCTCTTGTCTACCCAAAGCAATCTTGGCCAGCCTTCGTTCGAGTGCATCGAACTTGGAATCCAGTTTAGCATCTATCTTGGCTTCTAGACTCGCAACTCTGTTTATCTCATGCAAGCCTCCTCTCCTTCGAATACTGGTCTCACTACCCCATTCAGTGGCTTCTGAACAGATCTTCTCTACCAGATCATATGCTGCTGGTGCCTCCATGCTTGTGAAACCATTTCGAGAAGCATTATTCAGGGCATCTCGAAACTCCCTTCTGATTCCATTGAAGAAAATAATGATCACGTTCCAATCTTCAAGACCATGGCTTGGGCATCTCATCAACAACCCCTTATAGCGCTCCCATGCCTCAGTCAGACTCTCATCATCAGCCTGCTTAAAAGTAACAATCTCTTCTTGCCTCTTCATTGCCAAGGCAGGTGGGAAGTATTTATCCAGAAATACCTTCTCAAGTTGACCCCATGTCGTGATGGAACGGGGTGTTAAGTTTTGGAACCAGTGTGATGCATTCCCTAGCAGAGAAAATGAGAACATCCGAAGACGGATTGCATCATCAGACACGTTCGGGCTCTTCATAGTATCACAAATGCTCGCGAACCGGCGAAGATGCTCATGAGGATCCTCACTGCTAGCCCCGGAGAAGGTGTACCCATTAGTGATCATATTGATGAAGGCTGGGGTAATCTCCATGTTTGCATCCCCAGCCGGAATGACAACACATGAAGCTCGGGCTCCAGTCCTTCGATTCAGACGAGCCCTGATCGAACGATCCTCGTCTGCCATGATGACAAGCTCAATGTCACGAGGTGGTGGTGGTGGTGTAGGGACGACAGGTGATGAAGCCTGCCCTCTCTGGGTTAGGGAAGGCCTAGTGGTTGTGGTTGGCTGCTTCCCTAACTTGACCTGCTTCCTGTTCTGTCGGCAGGTCTTCTCGATCTCCAGATCTAGTGGCAGTAAATCGCCGGTCGTCCTCCTAGGCATGCACGAGGAGGATAAACCTGAAAATTCTTCTGCACACTAACACCCAGATCAAAATAGTTCACTCACAAAAATCAATAAAAATAAGGTATGGCAGTCCCCGGCAACGGCGCCAAAAACTTGATAGGGCAAAAGCGTATCGCTTCAATTCCTATCTTGTAGTAAACCGGAAAGTCCGGGTATCGTCTCTCAGGGACTGGTACAACCTTATATTCTATCAAATTTATGAGCAAACTATAAGTGAAAATGGTTTGAGATATAAACTAAATTTCTAAAAGCAAAATAATTAAACTAATTAAGCAAAGTAAACTTGTCGGGAGAAATTCAATGGGAGAAGCTCTGGGAGAAACACCGGGATTCACTACCTATCCTATCCAGATTAATTCACATACTCCAATCAATTTAATCCAACTCTCTACAGCCAGGATATCACGAATGTGCTAGCTATCCCTGTCGGGAATTACTACGTACTAAACAATTAAATCAAATCCTACTGTCGTAGCTCAATGACCTAATTATTTAGCCTGAAGATCGATATCCTATTTAAGACCGCATAGCACCTTATTTAATCCACTGTCGCTTCGATAAGTTACTATGTCACATGAAATAGGTTCAGTTATTAGGGTTTCACTGTCGCTAATAACCTAATTAACTACAAATCGATGTATTGGTGGCCAGTCAACACAAAGCATTAAGCAATTCCATGCAATAGAGATTGGAAGAAAAGAATCATAAATCAATCCATCAAATCAAGAAATAGCTACATCCTATGGTGTTTCCCCCAGAAATTGGGGTTTAGTTCATGACGAAATTAAGATAAATCGATAGGGTTTTGTTCATCATGTTCTAAAACAACAAGAAACAACTAATTAGGTTTAGAAAATCCAACCAACTAATCGCTCTCGTTGAACTCAGCTCAGGCCTTGCTCGATCGCCAATCTCAATCGCACTGCTGCTCCGCTTTTACTTTCGTCCCTTTCTT